CTTCCGTACGGGAAGATTGTTCGCTTAGAATCCTGAATTGATCGTTGCTAACCTTGAGAAGATCTTAAGATCTCATCACAAAGCAAACAGAAAGGAGATTCATTCGTTTGGGAGTTTCATAAGGAATTCAGGCTTTCATTAGGAAACTTCTTCAATTTCGTTATATACATTTCGATGTCTTCCGAACTGCCAGCCAGCCGCTCCACTGATTACGAATGACAATAATTGAAGAAACACAAAAAAGAAACAATCACAAAAAATGACTAATACTTGTTAATGCCTTTAAAATGACCAACAAAAAGTAACAAAACAAGCAATACGGCCTAAAAATGAGCTTAAATGTAAAATCATCAGCAATACTCTCAGTTGCAAACCCAAACCTAATTGTTTCAAACTGACGATGACGACTATTTGCTCCAAAACAACAACATTTCAAAATCTCTCGTTCAAATCTTTCTCCAGTTTCTGCTACAAGCGATTTATATGAATTTTGAACAAACAAAATTATTTCCGCCACAAATCATCGCTAACACTCATCTGCATTTTTTTAAACATCAAATAATCAATTATAAATTTTTGATACTCTTTTCAAATTATCAAATGAAATTTACAAATACAACAACAACAACAAAACCACCACCCACCAACGCTACGATACGTCTCAGTCGTGGACTTTCCTTCGTATACTGATACGGCCATCCCAGTCGTGTGGTTGCGATCACGGCAAAAAACAATACGAATAATGCAAATCCACATTTCATCAAATAGTCCAGACGACGACTCACATACATCAAATTGTTCTGAAATTGACACCACTGACCATTCTCCTTCAATAATCACACCTTTCTCTCTTAATTCGTCAACTTTTTTCGTATTTTCGGGCTCACTTTCAATCCCTTTCCCTATGAATTATTTGACAATATGAAAAAATAGCCCAAAATCTCTGTGCTTGTCTATTCAAAAATCCAAGTTAGAATTCCATGAAGACAACAGATGATTGATTCCCAATGCTATTATCGTTAACCGTACGGGATGAAAGAAGAATGTTATCGTCTCAACGAAACAAAAATGTGATATTACTATTATATTAAATTATATCTCATCATATTACACTATCATCTCATATTAAAAGAAATATTTTAAAAAATGATAAAATATCAAAATGTCATATCAAAGACGTATAAACTCTTAATGAATTAATGCTGCTGCTGTAATTCTTCTCATGTAATTGCTGCTCATCAAGCAAATCGTACCGTGTATAAAACAAATGAAAATGCTGTAAGAAACGACAGAGGCATGATGATTAATTCCGGATTGAACACATTTCCGGTACGTCCCGATAGCGGTACAAAGAAATCGAATAGCATCATAACCGCATAAGTGGCGAACACAATCACTGGCACTGTACACAGCAATTGTGCACACAATAAACATCTTGTGCTGACTCCTAAAAATATTATTGCTTGGCTCAATTTCTACACTGACTCC